TTAGGGATGGCTAGCGCAGATAGCCCTCGTGTAGCTTTGCGCGAAATTAAAAAAAAAAACAAAAAAAAAACTTTACCTACGGTATATAGTTTGGTGGTCTTAAAATGATAGTTAAATTACTTAATATATTATTATACACAGTTCACAATATCAAACTTTCTGATCTTTTACAATCTGGCTTGCTTTTTAGAAGAATATAAATTAATCCAGATTTACCAGTGCATTTTTCCTCTTTGTTTCTTTAGTTCGTTTCATTGTTGATATAGTGTATACTTTCCATATTTTGGCATTTCTTGTTGTAAAGCCTGTTCAAGATGAGGTTCATAATACCACTGTAGCAAAGTGTAGGCCTGAATAATCTGTTTGTGTGTCAGAGTCATCTAACAGAATAATTCTAATCCTACCTCATTTACCGCAAGTAAATATTTCACAGCTATTAAAGAAAAATTATACATACTCCTATTTCACTGTGTTCATGTGTCATTATCAATATACTTTAAGGCCGCATATATTGGTCACTCAATGTCAAGCCAGAATATTTAGGAATATGTGCCTGCTTGAAATATTTATTCTGCTTTGTTTCTATAATTTCATTTTATTATTTTAATGTTTCTGTTGAAATGTATCACAATTATTCATGAATTGGTACCACATTTATTTTGACATGTATTCAGGAGTAACATTGAGTCATGCATTGTATTTCCTGAGTTTGCTCTGTGTTTGTAAGCATTAATATATATTCTTTACCTTCTATTTACTAACACTGTTGTTTCTTTCTTAAATGTAAGCTATATTTGTGTACACTTCTTACTGAGACTAATATCTGTTTTTGTGTGTTAAATCTAGAATGTATTTTGAATTTTGTTTACAAATGTATGATGTCTGTGGCATTGTTGAAATGTACTTTTGTATTCTACTTACTGAGATTGGTATTTTTGTTTTATTCTGTGTTAAGTGTAAAACATAGTTTATTCTGCTCAGTGAGACTATAATCTTGTTTATATTATATTTAAGATATTCATGTGTTCTACTGCCTAAGATAGTTGTCTCAGTGTCAGTTTTAAGACATATTTGTGTAGAATGTTGAAAGTTTGAAAAGATAAAAGAATATAAAATTTAAATTGAACATGTAGATGTACATCTATAGCAATATGTAATTTTAAAAATACAATGCTGCCAGGTCATAATAAAAGCTTTCGGGTCTATAGGATATGTTATTGGAAAATGACAATATAAAATAGATATTAATATGGATTTGGCGTATTTAATTTAGAAATATGATAAAAGGCAAGTAAACATTAACATATATTTACTAGAAAGAGAAGCATTATTTTGAGTAGAGAGTACCCAGTTTATGAATTATTCAGTTTTTCAATATGTCTTGTAGCGACATCTGATGTGCATAAACAAATCCCTTTATTAGAAACTATTAAAATCCATGAAGAAACAATCTACTTGTATATCTAATTTTACACTGTCATGTTAACAATTATTTTTAAATCATGCAATAATTCAAATTACAGAAGAATATACAACTAATGTGATTTTTAGTGATTATCCCCTAAAGTCCTATTTGGATAAACAGTTCTAAAGTCTCTCACTACAGGTAGTAAAAGTGTGTATGTCATGATGTTTTACAAAGTTACATTCAAAATTTAATGAAACTACTTTATTATCAATGTACAGGAATAAACATACCATTAAGATGTAGTTAATGAATCAAATTTCAATAATATATAAATTTCTTAATTTCAAAAGGAAATATTTAAATAATCCTCATTCTCAACTTTGTTTGCTTCGACTTACCCATTTTGTTTTGTTTTTATCATTCTCCATGATGTCCTGAATTAATCATAAATTACTCATTACAGTATAGATATTTTTGATTTTAACATGAAAATCACCTTGCACTTGGACTAATCAGACTCTGAATCCATAAATTCGTAGTCAAATCTTCAGTACAAATACCCAATTAAAAGATGTTTTTTTTTATACAAAAACATGTAATGTTTATTAAAAAACATTCCAGATTTTATGAAGATACACTTACAACATTAATAGTTGTAGTATGTATATTTTTATGGGTACCTGGTGGTTACAAGGTAAGTCAGAAAGACCAATCCTGTATAGATAGAGTTTAACCTTATGTCCAAATTCAGAACTAACTTAGTACTCAAAACTGTGAATGACTCTTGGGTGTCACATGTATATGAGCCCATATTCACTTGTAATAACATAAGACAATCTTAAATTACTTGTTCATATCACTATCTTGTAGACTGTAATGTGCAAGTATTGTGGACAGGTGTACATTATATAGAAACATGCTGAGCATCTCCGAGTCACATAAGGAAGCAAAACAAAAAAACATCCTTTCTGCATTAAATTTGACAATTTTGAATTATTTATTTGTCTTCAAAAAAAGTAAATCCTACCATTAGATTTTACTGAAAACGTGTAACTAACATGGTGTTGTATGTTTAACAAATTTACCTATAATTATTTGTATTGTTGTACTGAATTCACTGGTCTGTATATCATTATTTAAGACACCATTTCTCATCTAGCATTTTGTGTAACTTGTATTATTGTAGCTGTTTACTTTAAAATTTCAACAGTCTGATTTTAGATGCAAAGATGAGTAGCACAAAATGTCGTTCATTTAATAAAACAGTTTTTACTGGTATTATTTTACCTTTTTTATTATTTGTGCTTGTTGTTTTTGCCATAACAGTTCCATTTAACTTTTCTTTTTTATCTTTTATTATTATTATTAAGTCTTTGGCTATGCTAAAGTGTATTTGTGCATTCTAATCAGACTATTGGTTGTTTTCTCTGTGTCAGTGCTAAACCTAATTATCTATTCTGTTTTATGTGGCTGTTGTATCTGTGCCAATATTTAAAATTCATTTGTACATTCTGCTTAAAAAAGCTGTTTGGGTCACTTCTACTCACTGAAGCAACATTAACTATGTGTCAACTATAAAATATTTGAGCATATTTCATAAACCTATTTTTTGCTGTCTGCATCTTAATGTTAGCATATACTTCTGTTTCTGTACCTTACCACAGAGAAGAAAAATGTTAATATTTAAACTGAAGTTAGTCACATGTTTTTCCATTAAGTTAACACTTATCACCAGAAAATACTTTGATAATAGTTGATCTTGTATTTTGTATGTTAATGTTTTAATACTGTTTTTACACTTAGGACAACACTTGTTGTTACCTGTTGCTTTTACAGGTGAAAACAGGTATTAAACGTGCAAGATAAAAATTATTTTAAATGAATTAAAAGTTTTCAAAACTTGGAAAGTTAGGCATGCTCTGAAGCATTTTTAAAGTAAAAGGATGATTTGAAAAATAGTTTGAAAAGCTTTAGCAAAGAGTGTATGAAGTGTGACTTGTTTACAGACTTAGTGTTTAGAATTTTTTGTGTTTTTACATAGCCTTGATTGAATTATTTATTTATGTCAACAAAAATTGTATTCATTATTATTTGATAGAATTATATATATAATATAAATAAATTAATGAGAAAAGTGATTAAACATACTAAGTTATGATATGATAGACAATTTTGTTTTTATCACAGCTCAGGTAGGAAAAAGAAGACCCACAGACCAGGTGGACAAGATTTTTCTCGAAGTATATCAGGTAGTTTTTGAATTATTCTTCAGTACTGTAAGGTCAGAACATTTATTTTTATGAAAATTCTAAATGTAATTTCAGTTAAATAACTTTACTTCAGTGCTAATAATCTTGTATAAATTGCTCAATTTAGAATATGTTTCTAGTTTTTAGTGTTAGCTTGTTCAGTCTAGTAACAAATAACAAGAACTGTAGTTACAGCATTAAAACATCAAAAAATTAAAAGGCAATGTAAAAAAAAACTGAAGTAATTAAAGTGGACAAAACATTCAAACTACCTGCTTAGGGAAGTTGAGAAAAGTAAAAAGATACATTTGTATATATAAAAATAGAAGGCTATTTCCTAATTAGGGAAATAGTATAATAATTATAGAGGTACAGGGACAGAAGGAACTGGAGTTTCCTAGTTGGGAGAATCCTACAGGTGGTGGTGGAGAAAGGTGTTATGGGACAAAGAAAGCAAAAAGTGAACAATTAATAAATATAATTTCAAAATATTGGTAGAAGAAAAAAATGAGTTATTAGTATATGCAGAAAGTAGTAAATGTGACAGAAATTAAATACAGGAAATTTATGGTTGATGTAGTGTAAAAGAGGGATATCAGAAAGGTTTGTCAAGGAGTGTACTAGGTGTCACCTTGGTGTTTGCAGTTTTATACTGCTTTGATTAAACAAGTTATTGATGTCAACAAAAATCGATCCTAGCATTATTATTTGTTCAAATTTTGTATGAAAAGACAAAGGTTAAAAATTTGACCTAACTTGTAAGTTATTGCTCTCTGAAAATAATACATTAAGAAACACTGAAGACCCTATTGTGCATTTTTATAACATTTTATTTATAAATAATGTAGTTAGTTATGCCAATAAAATTGCATTCTTCCTATAGAAAAATATTATTATATTTCTAATCTTCTTTGGATTAATTTGGCTCGATTGAAAACTCTTTTAATAACATTTTAAGGTCATTACATACAACACAGTTCTTGTGCAAAAACTTTTAAGTAAAATTAATAAAACGAGACATCACATGGTTTTTACTTGCACAATAATTTATTTGTAAAGTATAAAAATATAATTTAAAAGAAACTTTAAAAACTCTACATGTTTCAGTGGAAATAGTTCCACCATCTTCTTATTTTTATTCCCCTGTAGATGGTGGAATTATTTCCACCGAAACATGTAGAGTTTTTAAAGTTTCTTTTAACTTATATTTTTTAAACTTTACAAATAAATTATAGTGCAAGTAGAAAAACGTTGTCTTGTTTTATCAATTTCATTTAACATTTTAAGGTATTTTCTATTTTTGAAAGAAAAAAAAAGTAGATTGAGCAGTATGTTGGAATAGAAAATGGAGTTCATAAGTATGTACTGAACACTGAAGTTATGACTCTTTTTCTTTCCTATAGTAGTCTTATTACCCAGATGGGGGTAAAGAGTGTTGAGACCAATATGTATATGGTTGACAAAATTAAAATTTTTACGATTGCTTTCAAAAAGGTATTGTGAATATCATTGCAACAAATTCTGTTGACCCTGAAAATGTTGAAAAATACCTTATTTAACCCATAAATATGTTAAAACTTACAATTTAACCCTATTGCCATGATGCCAAGTTTTAGTGTCTTACATTCAAAATTTAATTAAACAACTTGTTGTTTGTGTTATGCCAATTAGAATAACATAAAATCTTAGCTAATAATCCATATTTTAATAGTATAAAAGTTTTAAGTTCTTAATTCAACAAGGCAATATTTAAAAATATCCCGAATTTCCACTTGTGTGACCCACGTAACACATTTTCTCTTAGCATGTCATCATCCTTGTTTTATCCACAACCCCTCGAAAAAGTACAAAATTAAACATAAATTACTCTCCATAAAACATTATTGCTCAGAGAAACCATGAGTTATATAGTCTTCAATTTTTGGGGTTACAGAGCTATCGAATAGAAAATCAGATCCCTCCTGTCACATCCTCTATTTCAGAATTCATTGATAGTCCTCACCTACATTTCATTATATATTACCTATAACAATAGAAAGTCAAGGTTTTCGTCAATCAAATGATGTACTGTATAGCATTGTAATGGCTCTTGTCACATAGTTATACAGCCAGGAAAATTTTGAGAGGTAAATTAATTTGTATACTTTTTGTATGTTATAAGTCTATATTCTTTGGTGCATTATTTAATTAAATAAAAATTATTAAGTGCATTAGTATCTATAGCATAAAAAATTAGGATTAAATCTCTTCGACATTCGAGGGCAAGAAAAAAAAAGAAGATTGGTTAAGTATTTTATTTCTTGTTTTTCATGTTTATTCTTTGTATGATTATAAAAGTAACTAAAATGTAAAAATAAAGATCATTTTAGTCTAGTTAAGATTAGATTAGCTAAAATAAGTAATAGTAATGATATAATAAAAATGTTTCACGAAGCACACATCCAAGCAGATTGTAATAGCTCATGGGTAATGTAATGTGAACTACATGTTTCTCGAGTGATTTACAAATTGTAATGGTGCAGATAGTAGTTAGATGTGGTTCAAAGGGCAATAAAAATTGAATTTGATTATAAATAGATGTATACTGTTATGAACTTAGAGCTACTTAGGATAAACGAAAGTAGTTTCATGTTGCAATTTCATATCATTCTAGAAAGAAAAAAAAGGTTAATTTAGATTTATTTAATTTTTTTTTGGTGTTTACAAGGTAAGTCAAACTGATTGATCTCGTTTTGAGTTAGAGTAGAGAAAATAACAGATGAAATATAAAGGTTTATTGGGAAAAATGTTTAAAATGAATTTAGGATTTATGGGTTAGATTTGAGATTTTTTGGGATGACGAAAAGTAATTTTAATCTTAACATGAAAATTACTTTGCACACGGACTATTCAAAACAAATACTCAATATATTCATGGACAAATCTTTATTTTAGTTTATTAAAAATACTTTACTAAAAAATTTGATTTTTTGTATGTGAAAGACTTACAATGTTGACGGAAAGACTGCAAAATTGTGTGAAGATATACACACTATATTGAAAGTTAGAAGTATTAAATCTATAAAGACTTTAAACAAGTACAAAGAGGTCACATGCTCGGTCATATTAACCGACCCCATGTTGAGTTTGAGAGAGTTAAAAACAACCCATCAACTTGTATCATCTGATTAGGTCACTCATTACTTATACAGTGACTGATTTGGGCTGCAATATTTTGTGAGCTCTATTATTAAATATTTTGGGATAATCAGGACTCTAAATATAGTATTTTTAGCCATTTGACTGGTGTATTTGACCATTCCCAAGGGCTCATAAATTAATTTACTCTGTCTAAAAGAATTTCAATTTGAAAGTATGGTGGTAGAGATTATAATAAATAATAGAACCGAACTGATTACATGTTGTCTGATACAAGTGATAGCACCACTGTCAACAAATAAAATTATTCAGAACAGTTATTGTTTTTACCCTTTCGAGACAGGTCACAGGTGAAAGACCATGTTACCTTGATTGTTGACTCACATTCAAAATTTTATTGAACTTCTATTTCATGAATTAATGTCAATAAGTTTGGTATGAAACTGTAGATTATAATTCAAATTTTAGTACTATATTACTCAATTTCTTAATTTAAAAGCAAATATTAAAAAATACAGGTAAACATCAGTTTTTGTATGTCACATGATATGTTGAATGCAGCACTGGTTCAAATTAGATATTTTTGAAGTCAAAATACTAAATCTATAGTTTTGTACGAATTAGAAACTCAGATTACTGATATTGACAAGGTAGAATATAAAATAAGAGCCTCTTATCTTTTAAATTTGCTAAAATATTGTTCATGTAAT